GTATGAATACGCCCTGAAACAGACTTCCATGGGGCATGCAAGATCCCCTGAAATTTCGTCTGCCATCAGTGCTTCCTGCCCGTGTCACGTGTAGAATCCACACTTAGCAGGAAATCCCACCAAGTCCGCAGATTCTGCTCTGTTGCTCTCTGTGCATTTGCAAACCTGGGGCCCGTGCCCTCTGTGCCGGTCTTACAGAGGTTGGGCATCTTCCCCATAGGCTGCAAATGCTGCCGACACGTCGAGAAGGCTGCATAGTGTTGTGTTGTGCAAGGACAGGCCCGAAAACCGCGTCACGCCTTTCAAGAAAGGTGCGACACGGGTTAGATGGGTCCCTTCTCCTCCAGCCGTTCCTTACCCATCAGCTTTGAACGCATAGGGAATCGTTTCATCTCTTCGTTTGTCTGAGTCACATGCGTAGTTGTAGTCGCTTTCTTTAGTTTTTTCCCGTTGTTTCTCCTCTTGCCATGCCTGAAAAGGGTGGCGCCGACGATGCTCCTGCTGACGGTGATGAGCTGCGCAGTAGTAAGGATCCTGCCGTAGCGCGTAGGAGCGGCCGAGACATCTTGCGACCTGCCGCCGCATCGGCTCCTCCGCCTTTGGTTGCCACAACCGCTTTCGACGAAACACCGCGCGACGTGCCATTGTTGCCTTGTAGTCCTGACCCCGCTCCTTCGTCCTCCCACCATCCATAGCATCTTCGAGCAGAGGATCTGTGGACCCTATTGACTGTGCCACCGCCTCTACCGTTCGTTACGGTGTGCCCTGTGCACCTACTTTTTCATCGGCGAAGAAACAACGCTCGACGAAGTATACGCAGCAGTGTATCAAAATTTGTTGGCCAGATTCGTCCTCCCTCACCACCGCAATCACCTCCCCCCGTCACCCGCCCTGATGAACCGCCGCCACCGAAGCTAAGTACAAAGGAGTTGATCGAGCAGAAGTACCTGGTCGCTGAAGCTAAGAATAAGAATGATTGGCTTTGTTATTTCCCGTGGCTAATACTTACCCATACTAAGGATGGCTACCCCACACTTAAGTGCAGCGTTTGCCGAGCCTTTGGCAAAGAGACGACGAAGTACTCAAGCCCAGGCGACGACGGGCGAGATCTCCAGACACAGACGATGCGCATCCATGAACACTCTACATTCCATGAAGAGGCAGTTCGTCGGCAGCTCCGATCTAGAAGGACATCGAAGACAAGCAGCAGAAGACTACAAGCTTCGCCACCGTCGACGTCGAGGGCCGCCACGTCATCCGTCTTTTCCGGTGCGTCGAATTTCTTTGCAAGAATGATGCTCTCATCGCCATGTTTCTTAGGCTACTCCGTTTCATGGCAGAGCAAGACACGCCAGAATACCTCTCCAGTCGTATGGAGTGTATCTCACCAGGTGAGGTTACCTAGTTTTCGCCGCTCGATGGTTGGATTTTGCTAACTGCCATGTGAATGTTTCATCAGTTGAAATGTTAACTAATGACTGCGTTCATTTCTGTTTATGCCACTGCAGGTACGGGTTCCAGCAGATGGTCAACTGTCTGTCAACTCATCTGCTGGCTACTCAGATGGAGCACATCAAGACCTCACCCTACTTCGGCATCTCATGCGACAAGAGCACCGACCACAGGCAAGGGAAGCACCTGATCGTCTACATCACATTCATGCGGCTGCGTCGAGTCGTCACCGAATTCCTAGCCCTGCTAAGCGTTAAGTGTGACGCCGCTTCTCTCATGGCCATTCTCCTAGTCCACCTGGAGTCGTCAGGCATCGACCTTCAGCGCATCGTCGGCATCAGCATACACGGAGCGTCGGCGATATTCGGGCGAGACAACGGCCTTGTGGAATGCATGCAAGACATCATCCCGCACCTCGTTTCCTCCCACTGCATCGCCCACAGGTTGTTGTACTATTTCACCCTGTTTGGTGATACTTTTTCTTTCTTCCTTTCTTTCTTTTGTTCTTTTGTTCCCGTGTGGGTACCTGCAGGGAAGCACTTGATGTAAAGGACGCCGCCGCTTCCTATCCAGACCTCGACATGGTTGACAAGATCACTCGCACCCTTGCGGACCTTCTCGGCCGGTCGAGCGTATGGAGCGGTCGATTCAAGTATCTCCAGCGGGCGATTCACAGCACGAACTTGGAGTTCCAAGGCATCCATCAAGCTCGATGGTTGTCTAGGGGTGAGGCGATCCGACGCCTGTGTAAGGTGTTGGGTGTTGTGATTGTCCTGCTGTATGAGTATGAGCATCCCCTGTATGATGTTGTGATTTTGTATAAGTTTCAGTTTTGCCTCTTCTACCTGGCCGACATGCTGGCAGTCATGAACAACCTCAACCTCAAGTTCCATAAGCAAGAGGTGAGATGCTCATATCTGCGATCATGGTGTTCTCCTCTGCTGCAACTACTAATGTCTTATCCTCTCCTCTGTGTCCTCCACCCCACACCGCAGGTTGATGTCACAGAGGTGGCAACAGACATCGACGCGACGCTGCGGGATCTGTGGCACCGTTATGTCGAGTGCGGGGAGGTTTTCGGTGATGGTGCCGAAAACACTTGGCTGTCGGCGTTCCTCACGGTGTACGGGCGCGACGCGTCGAAGCGTGTGAAGGTGTGCGGCATCGACAAGGAGGGAAGCCCCATCACCCACATGCACAAGATGTAGGAGCGGCACCTCGACAAGCACCAGTATGGGAGCAGCTACAAGGACTGCGTGCAGATGTGCCAGAAACACGCCAAGGATACCATGACCAACGTACGAGAGCGAATGTTGGATCTCCGGAAGATGTCGCCGATGAAGCTGTGGGTGGCAGCGAAGTGGCCAAGACAACGGGCGTAGCGCAAGAAGTGTACGAGAGAGTATCTCCATGGCTGCAGTGGCATCTTCGACCACAAGCTGACCTTCTTCGACCTCAAGGCAGTGGAGACGGAGCTCGCAACCTGGGTGCCGATCATGCAGAACCATCACAAGGTGGAGAGCTTCCATCAGGGCCTGGCAAACTACCTCACAAAGGCCGACTTGAGCAGGCAAATCCATGGGTATGGTGTTTCCGATTCACCGCCATCCATTCTACTTGTCAAGTGTGCACAGCATTGCCGCTTTTGCCGTCCGCCCCTAAACCTCCTATGTAATCCGCCTAACCTCAATGCACTCTCTTCTGCATTTCGTCCGCCTATAATTCAGCCCCGTGTTAGGCGCTGGCCAAATCTGATGCGCTTGGGGCAGGCCTGCGCCGTGCTGCCTCTGTCAACAGTCGAATGCAAGAGGGGCTTTTCCCAACATAACGTGATTAAGTCCTGGGTCCGTGGCTCCCTTTGCAACGTGTGCCTCTCCGAGCTCATGGCCACCTCGCTACTGCAGTACGACATCAACTGGACTAAAGCCCTTGCAACCTGGTAAGAGAAGCTAAGACGCCCTGCACGAAGTGTTGTCTTCACATCTGCGAAATGCAAGTGCAAGGGGAAGGCCGTGGAGGGTGAGGTCGGCAACAGCGGCGACGGCGGCTGCTGTTGCGGAAACGATGGCGGCTGCTGCTGCGGCTGCGGAGGAGGAGATACAGAGGCAGAGACAGGCGGCGAAACCGGAGCCACATGGCCCCCAGAGTCAGCAGACTCCTCCACCGAGACAACCGACGGAAGGGGAGTGACGTAAGACACACCAGATGGGGCAGGACGGGGAGGAAGAGGAGCAAGGGCTACCGGGGGAGTGGAGACCACGAACAGGGGCGGGGTGACTGGGAGAACTCGGTGGGAAATCGGGTGTAGAATGAGACAGACTCATCAAAAGTGACGTCACGAGAGTGAAAGAAATGGTGAGACGGCGGGTGGTAAAAGTGCCAGTCAGAAGCATTGAGAGGGAAGCCAAGGAAGACACAAGGGACAGTGCGGGCATTGAGCTTGTCCGTGCCGGAGGCACGGACATGAGCAAGGCGGCACCAGATGTGGAACGCAAACGCGTCACCAGAGGACCCGGTCCAGAGGAGGGTCGGCGAAACCTTTGGCCGCTCGGAGTGTGCCCAGCCGACCAGAGGCGAACTCACCGCCACGGTCGGAGTGGAGACACAGCACAGGGAGACCGCGGTGGAGGCGCGCAGCGACGAGCCACAGGATAAGTGTTGTGTGATGTCATCATATGCTATCACATTCTGTCTGCCTCCCATCCCATGTTTTTTCAACTTGCATGTGTGGTTTGAATGTGCAAGCATTTGTGTGTGGTGTGTTCTGGAGTTTGGGAATGTGTTCTGTGTTATTTTTGTTTGAGCAGGTATTTGTGATAATAGATCTTGAGAAGATCTTTCCGACGCAACAAGAATCGCTTCAATCGGAGCAAGAACGCGAAAGCTATGAAGATTCAAAGTTCATGAGCTTGCGTTACAATTGCGGCGGTTACTAAGTGAAGTTGTGGGGTGACTTTATATGGAGTTGGGACCTTTGGGGTTGGGGAAACTTGTCACTCTACTGTAACAGCTGCAAATAGGTTGGGAACAACCAAGCTAGGTTGGCAAGGGTGGCCAACTTGGATGGATTGGTTGGGAAGGGACAAAGGTCAAAGTTGAGGTTCCTATAGGGAGGGAATCTTTGTGCTTATGGGGTTTCCTTGGTTGGGGACTCTCTTGGGACCTTCCCTCTCATCCCTCTCTTCCTATCCCAACCTTTCTCTTGCTCCTTCTAATTCCTTGTGAGATTCTTGAACTTTGATTGAACTCTTGAGATTGAGTTAAGTTCTCCTCCTACAGCTTACCCCCTAGTGCGTCGAAAGCCATAGTGTCGCGAATACTTCATCAATCAACATGGTTCAAATTGGGAACGGTAGCTGAGATTAAGAGCTACAACATATCCAAGTTTCGCGACATTCCAACGGCTAGTTTTTTGTCGACGTCGTTTCTTGTGAAGACGACTTTTCTGTCCAGAATTTCGGATTTATATTTTGAGTAATTCTAGCTCCTAAGTTCACCTAGACTCCGTTCTTAATTCTAACAAGTGGTATCAGAGCCATATTAAGGATATTGAGAGGAGTCTACAGAAGTGTGAAGACCCTTCTAGACCCACCATGGCCTGTGGGTGTGCCTAAGTGGTGTTCTAAATGTTGGATGTGTCTTCCGCTAAGGGAAACTCTGCCGAAATTTCGTGGACGCCGATACTTGTGAAAATATCGAGGGAGCTGAGTGGGGACAGCAAAGGGGGGCTGAAATTCGTCATTTCTCAAGGAGAAGATGAATGAGAGAGGAGGAGATGCTAATGGAAGAGGAGCTTTAGCTGAGAAGGCAAGTGAGCCGCCGCCATCAAAAGTTGAAGCTTTGGATGGCTCCAACTATGAGGAATGGAGCGGACGGATGAGGAGTGCCTTCAAACGCTACAAGCTACTGAAGATTGCTGTTGGGGAAGAGAAGATGCCGGAAGAAGGCGAAGCACGTGAACGGTGGATTGAGAAAAGCGCGGTGCTTTTCGACCTCATCCTTCAATCGGTCAACAAGGAGATGTTCGAGCACATCAAGGATCTTGTGGAAGCGGATGATTCGGGTCCAAGGGCGTGGAAACTACTACGCGATGTGATTCAGCCCAACACTCTCCCGATGGTGATCGTGCTCGAGAAGGAACTTGCTGCCATCTCCATGCGACCAGGGGACGATGTGAAGCCGGTCCTTGACAAGATCAAGGACACCTATGCAAGGATGGCAGCAGCGGGTAGCAGTGTATCTCAGCTGCAGCAGTGCACCAAGATCATCTCGGTGTTGGACAACTCTTGGGACAACCTCATCCCCACCCTCAACTCTCAGCAAGATCAATGGACACCTGAGTGGCTAAGGCAGCAGATTCTGCAGGAGGACTTCCGCAGACGCCATGTGGGAGGCGGTGCTGCCACTAAGACTGCTGAGGGGTATGGAGCTGCAGGGCGCGGCAGAGGAAGAGGGGGTTGGAGAGGCCGAGGCCGTGGGAGAAGCTTTGGCAGAGGTAGAGGCCGAGGTGACTATAATGAGAGGCATGGGAGCTCCAGTGGCAGGGGAGTACCAGAATGGAGGGCACCTGCTGGTACTGCAAGAAGGTCGGGCATCCTTGGTTCAAGTGCTTCAGCAGGCCGGAGGGATGGGCACCTCCAGGCATGAAGCCGCCAAGTGGTGAACGCGCACAAGGTGGCGCTGTGCAAGGCTCAGGTGCACAAGGTGAAGGTGCACAAGGTAACGCCTATCCTGGGATGTATCTCATGGTTGAGGATGTGCATGGGCATGAGGGTGATGTGGGATCTGTGGGAAAGGTTGTGATGCACCCTCTCACGCACTGGGTGATTGATTCGGGTTGCACCAGTCACATGACTCCACGGGCAGATTTGCTTGATGAGGTAAAACCCCCTGGGAAGATTAAGTATGTGGCAGCAGCATCAGGTGCTTTGCTCCCGTGATTGGTGTTGGGAATGCCAAGGTTAAGGGAGCTAATGGGGAGCTTGTGGGGCTTGGGAATGTTCTGCTGGTTAAAGGCTTGTCTGCTAACCTTCTCTCTGTGCGGCGACTGCAGAAGAGTAAGGCCGAAGTGACCTTTGGACCAACCAGCTGCCGTGCTAAGCTTGGGAAGAAGGTGCTGTGGAGTCTGGAAGAGGAGACCAGCTGCATCAAGGACCTGTGGCAGCTGCCCATCATCCCTTGGAATGGGAAGACTCCAACAGCAGCAACGGCAGCAGCGGCAAAGGCAACAGCAGGAGGAGATGCAACTGCACCAACTGATGGGGTCCTGGAAGCAGTCAAGAAAGTGCAGCAGCAGCAGACACATGGTGAGGTGCTTGCTGGTGTGGATGCGAGTGCGGCATGGGCTAAGGCTTCATCAAGGAGTGGAGAGGCCGATTGGGAGACATGGCATGAGAGGTTGTGTCATGTGAACTTCCCTATGCTGCAGAAGTTGGTGAAGAATGGGAGCCTGAAGGGCTTGGAGGTGAAAGGGGAAGTGAAGGAGATTGGGAGCTGCCCTACATGCTTGGAGACCAAGTTCTCCAAGTTCCCCTTCAACAGTGCAACAGGACCAGCCAAGACCCCACTTGCACTTGTGCACATGGATGTGGTGGGGCCCACAAGAGCCCCTTCCCTCTCAGGCAGCCGCTATTTCTTGACAATTGTGGATGACCACACTCGGGCAGTGTGGGTTTACCCTTTGAACAGCAAGGGGGAGGTGGCAGCGGCTGTCCTTAAGGAGTGGATGCCTAGAGCTCAGAGGGAATGCGGACACAAGGTGAAGGTGATCCGCAGTGATAATGGTGGGGAGTTCATTGGAGCTGATTTTGAGGGGGAGTTGAAGAGGAAGGGGATCCAGCATCAACTGACAGTGCCCTACAACCCGCAGCAGAATGGCGTGGCTGAGAGGTTCAACAGGACCCTGCAGGAGGGGGCACGCACTCTCCTTGGGCGTGCAGGGCTGCCTGATCCGTTTTGGGTGTCTGCACTGAGGCAGGTCGCCCTTGTGAAGAACAGGGTGCTGGCTACAGTTGGAGATAAGGAGTGGATCCCATATTCAAGTGGTATGGGGAGTGCTCCAGCTGTGAACATGCTGAGGGCATTTGGGTGCATGGTGGTGTTTCATGTGCCTAAGGAGAAAAGGGGGAAGTTGGAGGCTTCTGGAAGATGGGGTGTGCACTTGGGGATTGCAAAGGATCACAAGGGGTGGCTGCTATGGGACTTGACCACCCAGAAGTTGACAGTGTCAAGGGATGTGAAGTTTCTTGAGTCCCTGTACTACAAGGAATGGAAGCAGCAGCAACAGAAGCTTCCATCTACACCGCTCATTGTGGAGGCAGATGAGGTGCAGCAGCCTTCAAGACAGGTGGAGGTTGCAGTGTCAGAGGAGGAGATGTCTGGGGTGACTGAGGAAGGGGGAGCAGCTGAAGTAGAGCAGCAGCAGCAGCAGCAGCATGAGTCTCCATCTCGAGTTCCACACCCGCCTGAGCGACCTAGGAGGGATGTGCGCCCTCCGGTGAGGCTGACCTATGGGGGAAGAGGCAAGCCGAATGTGGTGCAGGCTGGGAGTGTGGTTGAGCAGATTGAGGAAGATGAGATCGCTCACTGCTACTGGGCACCAATCCCTGAGCCCAAGACTCGAGAAGAGGCTTTGAATGGACCAAATGGGGAGAAGTGGAAGGCGAGTGAGGATGAGGAGTTCGGGTCCCTAATTGAGAACGAGACATGGGACCTGTGTGACTTGCCTCCTGGAAAGAAGGCAATCACTTCCAAGATGATCTACAGGCACAAGTATGGACCTGAAGGGGAGCTGACCGCTACAAGTCTAGGCTTGTGGCACGGGGGTTTCAGCAGACAAAGGGGAAGGACTATGATGAGGTGTTTGCTCCTGTGGGGAAAGGAACAACACTGAGGGTGCTGTTGGCGATAGCTGCACTCCTGGGATGGAAGATTCGGCAGATGGATATTGTGACTGCCTTTCTGAATGGGATCATTATGGAGGAGGTGTACATGAAGCAGCCAGAGGGGCTGGATGATGGGAGCGGCAGGGTCTGCAGGCTGAAGAAGGCCATCTATGGCCTTAAGCAGGCGCCTCGTGCATGGTATCACAAGTTGGAGGAGGCGCTGGTGGCTGGGGGTTTCAAGAAGAGTGAGTGTGACCCCAGCCTGTTCCTGCTGCAGGAGAAGGATGAAATCCTCATGCTCTTGGTGTATGTGGATGATATCCTTCTCTTTTCTGCATCACTGCTTTGCTGGACAGCGCAGAGCAGATGCTGGAGATGCAGTTCAAGTGCTCCAAGATGGGTGAGGTGAAGTACTACTTGGGGATGCATGTGGAGAGAGATGTGGAAAGGGTGTGCTGAGGTTGCACCAGAGGAAGTACTGTGAGGGGCTGGCTGAGAAGTATGGGCTGCAAGATGGGGGAAAGCCAGCACACCACTACCTTCAGGGTTTACTGTGGAGCCATGTGCTGATGAGGAGGTAGTGGGTGAGAGTGACAGGAAGCTGTTTCATTCGATGGTTGGGTCGCTGAATATGCTGCAAATCATACACGGCTGACATTGCATTTGCTACATCACGGTTGGCTAGTGTGGTCTCACGCCCTAGTCATGAGCAGCTGGAAGCGGCCAAGAGGTTGGTCCGCTATGTGAGTGCTACGGCATCAGTGGGATTGGAGTACAGTGGAGTGAGGCAGCGGTTGCAGAGAGGTGCTGCAGATGTGAAGAGTGGAGAGATGCTCTTGAGTTGCTATACTGACGCTAGCTTCAACTCAGTGAAAGCGGATGGCACCAGCATTGGGGGTTATGTGTGCTTGCTAGGAGGTGGTGCTGTGAGCTGGCGCAGCAAGAAGCAGAATGAGGTGGGATTGTCCTCATGTGAGACTGAGTACATGGCCTTACACCATGGGGCCAAGGAAGTGGTGTGGCTAAGGCGTTTGTTGGAGGAGTTGGGAGTTGGTCAGGAGAGCCGACAGTTGTGTTTTGTGACAATGAGTCTGCTGTGAAGCTCGCCAAGAATGCTTGTCTGCATGGGCTGACAAAACACATAAGGCCTAAGTGGCATTGGGTGAGGAGACTCCTTGATAAGGAGGTGCGGCTGGAGATAGTGAAGACCCATCAGCAGGCAGCAGATTATTTTCACTAAGCGTTCTGG